CCCCCTTATCAACATTTCAGTCAAATTACAAAAAAAAAAACCTTGTTGTTTTCACTGCATACATTATTTTAGACCCAGTAACATCATTACAAGTACTCTTCTCTATGTAATGCAGACAGATGGGAGGGGCAGGCAAGGTATGTACTCTTCTCAAGAGTCCTCAGTCCAGATGCAAGGTGGGCTGGCTCATGGGAGGAGTTATGCAAAAGGTGAAATGCCCTAAAGGGTGGATGTTAGTCTGAAGGAGTGGGAGTTTTTAGGCGGGCTGTTTTTGCATGCAGACTGTCCTGGGTAATGCTCACACGTGATACCGAACCCTGATGATTGAAAGAAATGAAATCCAGTGAATGAAAAGAGCGGGCCAGGAACATTAAGGCTGGGGATGAAAGTGCTATTTGATGCTGGAAATGAGGCGGGCTCCATCTGACTTGCTGCTGCTGCTAATGCATCGTATGAGAAGCTCACAGACAGTGAAATCAGAAGAAGCAATTTTAGTCCAGGAGAGGAGACGGTACAATTATGCAAGAGTGAAGGGAAGGCCGGAGTTCAGCTTTAAAACACTTGGGCATATGGGATGGGCATGTTTGTCTAAATTCTTGTCTTTTTAAAGGTTCTTTCACATATGCTACCAGATCACGGTGCTATAGAATATTATGACGTTGCAGAGATCACTTTTAGCTGTTAAAACCAGTGTGGAAGCAGTGGTCTCATAGCAGAGGTCCAATATGCCTACTGCTGAGTCAATGCTAGAGCTCTCCAGTTATCAGGGAGCATGAACGTTACTGATTTCAGAGCTCTGACTCAGCAGTGGGCATGAGAGACCAGTGCTTCCACACAGAGGGCAAGGCTCCTTTTCTGCTGCATGCTGACAGGGGAAACAGGGGAAAACATTTTCTCCTCTGTTTCCTTAAGAAAACAAAGAGTTAAACTTTGCTCACCTTTACCTTTAATGCACTTGAATTGCTTTTACTCACTCAAACTGGAAGTTCAGTTGGGCTTTAAAACTCGTGCCGGTGTGATGGGATTTTTTTTTTTTTTGCTTCTTTTTCTATTTAATTGTTCGGCTCACAAAACTGCACGCAGTCAGCATCTCTGAACACTTCTCTGCGCCTGGAGGTTGGGGATAATTGTTCAGGATGGTGATGCCGAGTTCAGTACAGAACTTCATTATGAAAGTGTTTCGTAAAGTTTGGGAAAGTACAGCTAATGCAACCTGTTTTTACTGGAGGCAGTGTAATGCCTTGGGAAGAAAAACCGCGGCAAAGGACAGCCTAAGGAAGGAAGGAAGCAACGGTTATAGGAGAGGGTTAAATGAGCCATCACTTTGGTAGAATGCCCTCATTCTAATGCCACCTGCCAAACATTGACTCAAACACAATGATTTCGATCATAAACCATAATTTGCTTCTTTAGACTCTATTAGACATTTTGAATAGGGTGAGAGTGGTGTGAATGTGATCTGCAGGAGCAGATGGCAAGGAATGCAATTTGCCTATAAAACAGCAGGTATAGCTAAAACATAGAGCTCTCAATAGGTTGAGTGGTACTGGCGGTAAGGATCCAGTAGACCATACTTTTTCTGTGGGTAGCTGCCAGTTTGGTTCAGGCATGCTATTGCTAGATGTATGCATGGGCCATCTGCTGACCATCATACAGTAGTGCATGCTCTCATGGTCATGTCTTTACTAAGCGTCAAGTTAAAAGCTGGCTCAGTGTACTAAGAAACATCCTGCAGTTAATTCCTGTTACTTCCTTATTATCACTGTATGATGTATAGTGTTTTTGCTACCCTGGATTCAACCTCAGCCTCACCTCTGGTATGTGTGCCTACCACCAGAGTTTACTTCTTACACAACTTTGCCTAAACACTGCCTGCCCCGAACTTCATCTATCTGTAGACTATGCTTCTGTCTAATGGTTCGCTGCTTACTGACCAACAGCAAAACCTAAACTGGTGCTTAGATATGTTAAATGTCACTATAGTCGAAGAGGACATGAATTATCAAATGAATCTACACCAGGGGTAAGCAATCTTTTCACAGCAGCTATTGTGGATCTACAAGCCCCGTGAGGCATTGGCATTGCAAGATCCTGACAGCCATGTGTATGACCCCCAGAGGCATAAAGGGATTTGTAGTTTCTGCACAGCTAGAGTGCCGATTTTCCCTACCCATGAGGCATTGCAAAACTCTGACAGCCACATGTATGACTCCAGAGGCAAAGGCATAATAGGATTCGTAGATTCCACACACCTGGAGTGCCAAGATTGCCTACCCCTGATCTACACTAAGTGCCTACTTTATTGGGTAAACTTGATCGATGATGCTGGTAGCCAAGCAAATCATGTGGCTGCAACTCAACATCTACAACAAAGCATGTACATTGGTCAAGATTTTCAGTTTTTGCTCAAGCCAACATTACGCTGGGTGAACTAATACAGCCTTTCTCAACCAGGGGGCCTTTTGGCTTCCTCTGGGTGCCTCAAAATTTTTTGGCTATCCCTCCCACCCTCTACCATGCTGCTGCAACTCCTAAAGTAGTGGTAGGATTCTGATGTGAAGGGGGGACTGAGAACTCTGTTGTGAAGGGGGAACTCTGACATAAAAGGGGTTCCTGATTTAAAGGAGAACTATTGGGTTAGGGCTGGTCCCCATAGTTCTCCTTAGGGTAACGGGAGGACACAAACTACTGTCCTCCCGTCACCCAAAGCTCAGTATACCACGAGCTACAGCTCGCGGTATACTAAGACACCGCAGCTGAAGCGGATCCCGACAATTATGTCTGTATCCGCCCAGCTGCGTGAGTGACAGCTGGCTCTGCCTATCTAGAGGCAGAGCCAGCTGTACCCACCCCCTCCCCCGTCCGTTCCGCCAGTCAGCGCTGGAGGATCGGAGCGGGGAGGGGGGAATCCAACCCCTCCCCTGTCATGGCAGAGAGCCGTGAAAAAAAGGTTGGGCAACGCTGAACTAATCAACCCGGACCATGGGACGATTGCTGATGCATGATGTGCTGGTTTCAGCAAATTATGAAAATGTTTTACAGCTCGAACTACATAAAGCGCCAAAGATTTTTTAAAAAAGTATTTCTGGCATAGATCCGGGTAATCTCAATATATTTAGCTTGTACATCTAAAAATTTCAAAAACAAATATCTCCTAGAGAAACTGTTCATTGTCGTTAACGATCCAAATCCAGCATGGAGAGGATATCAGGGGCCTTTCACCGAGGTACAGGAAAAAAATACAAAGGGAAGGGGATTGTCACACAAACACATACTCTAATCCTTCTTTAAAAATATAAAAAAATATAATCTAACCAGAAACAACAACAGGCAAATACATATGGGGGAAAAAAGAAAGATGTCTTGTGTTCGGCAGAATATCCGCCGCGAATACCTAATACCCAGATTGTAAACAAAACAAGTATTTTTCAATTGCGCTAAGGCTTCTCTATTCTGCGATACTCCTGATAAAAGAATTACGAAAAGAGATCTGGCACAATAGAAGCAGCTGTGGCTGTGTTATGCATGAGTGCCGACACCCTCCTTCTGCGTCCAGGTGGAATCGATTTAGACAAAATGTTTACCAACACTCTGAAGCCACAAGAGCTATGTTAAAAAGGAAGATGTTGGCTCGTCGGCCACAGTTCCCTTCCATGCATTGTTCTTTAATATTCTGGTCCTAGCAAGCTTAAATTGGATGATCAGAAGTTTGGCTTGACTAGGATTCTGGGTAAGAAATAAAGGCAACGACATCTGGTTCATATTTATAAGGGGGTATCAAACCGATGAACGTTCAATCAGTTTTAATTCAAGCTTTAAACAAGCTTAATTCAAGGGGAAAAAAAATAATTATCTAAAATGTTAAAACGGAGAGGTCAAGCTCAGATGGGGCTTTTGAGAGCATGCATACACAAGCCCGTTCTGTGTGTCCAGGATTCTTGGCACCGCAATGTTATTTAGTATAGACATAGGCGCCATGATGATATTTAGCATACACATAGGCAACTGAATGTTTCAGAGGAAGATGAGCCGCCCCCTTCCCCCCACTATCTGTTCATATCACTCCAAACCAGGATTCAGCTAGAAGGCAGTCAGAAATCGAGCAGTAACTGAGTGTGTCAGGAAGGTCACATTATCCAAGGTGTGGACATACCCTTATGGGCACATGTGCTTGTCCTGTCACATGGCACTGCAAATAGGGTCACTACCAGACAAGCTTCTCAGCACTTCTTAGCAAATACCCACTGGCATACACACCCAGGGGCCTTGACTCAGAACTGGCTACTTAATGCCCCACATTTGACATTGCTAAGTGGTCTTTGGCTCACCCTGTGACCTGGTCTGGTAACTTGGTCTTGACCACACACAGACTCCTGCCTCACACCTGCCTCTTTAATAATATCTTTGCTTGATTGTTGGCTTGATTGTTGCAAAGCCACAGCTTGTCCTTGCACCTTGTACATGTATGCAATATTGTACTCTAATGCCCTTCTGCTATGACCCTGGCTTGTTCCTGCTGCAACCTACTGACCAAGAGCTACACAGCTGCGTTCCTGCTCTTCCCTGAATCTGCATCCTCAGCATGCACAAGTTCCGGCGATCCCTACAACATACGTCACACACTTGTGCCACTATGCTGCCCTTGCACAGTTGCACTGCCCGATAGT